CGCCCTCCCCCTCCTTGTCCCCTAGGCTTAATAGGGGAAAAAAAAACCAAAAATCATTGGGTTCCCTGTACGGGTGTGGGTCGCTTTTCACCAAAGACTTAGCTTTCCGTAGACATTCTGCGGAGGAAACTATAGAAATGCAAATAGCGCCTAATTTTCGCTTACTTCCGCTCTCCTTTCTCTTTCTCCTTCCCCTTTTAATGTCTTGATTGGCACATCTTCTAATTAAATCTGTGATACTTTTTGTTCTACCTAATTCCACCCCCCCTTTATTTTTTTTAAATTGTTCCCCGTTCAAGCCAGTTTCTCTAGCAAAAGTAACAAACAACTTAAGGGAAACAGCAAATCAACTGCCTCCGAGGGCCAGATTTTACCTTCAGGGGAGTTTCTTTCTTTTCCTAATTGTTCCTTCTCCCCCACCCTCCCACTTTCCACCCCCCCTGCCCAAATCGCTCATATTTGTCCCCCTCTTTTCTTTCTAACCCTTGCATTCGAAAGCCATACATTTAAAGCCATAAACAGCCCAGTTTTGATGGAGCTGAAAGCTAGCATTGAAGATCCTCTACCTGTTTATTCGCACGTCGTCTGGGACCGGATCGCCCTACCCAGCCTTTTAGCTCATTGCAGAAACATTTGGGTGCATCAAAAGGAAGTTGAGACGAGGGGGAGGGAGAGGGGGGGGGGAAAGAGAGACCTCAAGTTGTAAACTGGGAAGAAAGTTGGCTTGCAGGCAGAAAAGAAAGCCTGTTGTGGACTGCTGGGGGGGCGGGGGGGGGAAGAGATGCTGAAGAATAATTCACATGCTTCTCAGTGGTCTTCAGGGGTGGCAGCTGGAGGTCCCTTCTTCAAAGCCATCTCTGATTTTCTTTTCTTTTCTTTTTTTTCCCCACTTGTAGGTGAGAAGCCCTTTAAGTGCGAATTTGAAGGCTGCGATCGCCGCTTTGCAAACAGCAGTGACAGAAAGAAGCACATGCATGTCCACACGTCAGACAAACCCTACATCTGTAAAGTTTGCGACAAGTCCTACACCCACCCCAGTTCCTTAAGGAAGCACATGAAGGTAAGGAAGGATGCCGTAGAGTTCTCTTTCCGTTCCCTCTTTCAGTTTTTGTGAGCTCTGTCCATCTGTCCACGCTCTGCTGGGGACGTTGCTCTCCAAGCACGTTTACGAGTCTATATTCCTGCCTCTTTAGACCAGTGTGTGTTATATACAGTTGTAGCAATTTACAGGGTTATACATGTATTCATTAATTTTGGACACATTTGCACAGTCATTTACAGATCAGTTTACATAGTTACATGATTCTCTGTATGTGTGCCATCAAATAATATGTGTAGCTAGTGAAACACTGCCAAACAATTCTATATAGTTATATATGAATATTTATTTGTGTGCCTGTGTTGTTAAATGTGCATCACATTTTGCATAGGCACACATGTATGCGTTTATGTGCAGACTCGTTACATCTAGGCATCTGTAATTGGAAGTTTGAAAATGGAACGCTCTGTGCATGAAATCGCTCCACTTGGATCATTTAAGTAACTTTTTGCCTTGGAGAGCTGTCCTTTAAGAGACATCTATGCATTTAGGAAATCATAACAAATATTTTCCACATGATTCTGGTCAAATAGGAGGCTTTGTTTCAGACTACAGCTGCTTGGTTCAAGTTTGTTCCTCCTTTTAAAATAAATTTTCATCCTTGTTGCCTTTTGCTAAGTCTGAGAATGAATCCATTCTGCTTGGAGAAGGTAGTTTAGAAAGCCTGTGTCCGTGCAGTAAGGCATTTTTGAGACACATGGATGCAAATATAGACACAGAACAAACATTTTTTTGAAAAAAACCCTTCATGTGGTGGTAAATCTTGGAGTAAGATTTATTTTGATCTCAGCGAGACCTGTGTCTATCTGACGCATTATAATCTTTTTTTTTCTTTGAAAATGTGTTGTTTTCAATTCTAGATTAAGAGAGACCCCAGATTCATCCGACTTTAATTGGGCTTCATTTTCTGTTTCTTCATTTCTGACTTCTGAAAAAAAAACACGTTATCAATACAGAGCTACACGCATAAGTGAATAAATGGTAAATAACCTTAAGCGTGGGGCTGTTTTAGGCTCATTGACTCCTTACTTTTTTTTTGCTTCCAGCAAACTCATCTGCCCGGCATCCCCAAAAGGTTCAGCCAGTCCTCTTCGCTCTGGGTCTTGTATGATTCTCTCTCTCTCCCTCTTTCTTTTCAGGTTCATGAAACCCAGGGGTCAGAATCCTCCCCGGCAGCCAGCTCTGGTTACGAATCGTCCACCCCCCCAGCCATCTCTGCAGCCACGAGCAAGGACGCTTCCTTGGCCAAAGCAGCTCCCCCCACGGTTCAGACGACGAATCCCAGTCACAACCCCGGACTCCCCCCTAACTTTAACGAGTGGTACGTCTGACTGAGGAGGACAAGCCCCACGCTTCCCCCCCCCAAAACCGGTTGGACCCAGACTGGGCCAAAAGTACCTCCCAAGTGGCCTCAAAAGGACACCAAATGTATCACCTGGCCTACGACTGGAGTTTACAGGACAAAACATCGCAAGAGGAGTTTTGGTTTATAATTTTTTTAAAAAAAGTGGGGTGCTTGTATATGGGAAGGGTTGTTATTCCATCCGTTCCCCCAAGAGCTGGACACTGAATTTAATCATGTCTGTTTTTCTCAGGATTAGAATTTTTTTTAAATTCCCCGATCAAAATTATTTCCAATAATTTTTTTTTTTTAAAAAATTTCCTCTTCCAATTCACCACCCACTGTTTGGTTTTTCATTTCTGTGCTTTGTTAGTTGACTTCGGTGGATAGTCTTTACTTCTCCCACCTTCTCCTCTAGCAGGATTTTTTTTTCAAAAAAAGATCAAATGAGCAAACTGACGTTTCCCCTTGGCCTTAGTTGTAAGTATTCAAAATAAGATAAACAGAAACAAAAAACCACAGTCTTAAAACTTGCCAAAGTCCTGTATTGTCTTGAAGTTTCTTTCTTTCTTTCTTTCTTTCTTTCTTTCTTTCTTTCTTTCTTTCTTTCTTTCTTTCTTTCTTTCTTTCTTTCTTTCTTTCTTTCCTTCCTTCCTTCCTTCCTTCCTTCCTTCCTTCCTTCCTTCCGTCCTTCCGTCCTTCCGTCCTTCCGTCCTTCCGTCCTTACTTCCTTCTCTCCACCCCTCTTTTCCTCTCTCTGTTCCTCTTCTTTCACTCTTAAAAAACATTACATTTGTGAATGTATTTTGTGTGCTTGGGAAATGGGAAGGAGTGTCATTCAGTATATTTTTAAGGACGAGGGCGGGTGGGTGGAAATGTGATATTAATCTGGCCTGGGCTCCTGGCAGTTTAGTATAAACTGTTGCCTTTTTGTAGTAACTTTCTTTTTTCTTTTTTGTAAATACATATCCATGATGCCATATTTATCATTTGTAATTTAATTATTGAGACAAGTGCCGGGAACTGAACCATATTTATGAAAAAAAAAAGAAAAGAAAAGAAAAAAGAAACCCACAAAAAGATTTTTTGTTGTTGTTTTCTAACAAAAGAAAAAAATTCAGAAAACTCTGTACAGCTTTTGGTTATATAACTGCTTTAGCATTAAAAGTTTATTGTTTTGGAAAGAACACAGCAGAATCATTTTCTTTCCAGATCTTCTTTTCCTTCCACTTTTTCATTCATTCTGTTGGGTTTTAGATCACTCTGCCTCAAAACAAAATAACCAGGCAGAGAACTTCGGAAAATGTCTTCCAAATTTGGCTTGTTGCTGGATTCTTGGTTCGCGATGCCTGTGTCTTTTATGGAGTAATCTCATCCCCCCCTCCTTTAAGGTGCCTGGGGGTCTTTTACTATGTGGAAGGAAGAATCCTGAAATGTATAGGGTCCCTCCCCATTTTAGAGGACTGTGTGTCCCTTCTGCACACAACTCCACACCATTGCTTTCTGGATTCTGTGCCACTTTGCAATTGAGTTTCACGATTCAAACCACCACCGTCTGGATACCTTGAACTTCAAGAGAAGTGACGACTGCTTCAGTGAACTTCAAAAGGTAAATTTAACTAGCTTTCTGAGTATGAATGTATGTGTGTGTGTACGTGAGACTCGTACATCTCTCTCTCTCTGTGTACGTGTGTATTTCCTCTGACAAAGTTGCTCTCCATGAATTAAACATCCATCTTTATGTGTCTTGTTTTAACCTCGATCCTAAATAAGATTAATTGGCAGTTAGTCTCCTTAATCGGAGTGGAATTTGCATGCAAGCGAGTGGTCGCTGGAAGGGTGTGAAATAGGTGAAATGCACGATTTTAACAAAATTGCCAAGCCGTTTAAAAAAAAAAGTCTTGGAAATACTGTACAGAGCTAAAAAGTGTTGTGTTTGTGTTTGTGGTGAAGGATTGTTTCTATAGCTGGCAGCTGAATTCCTTTTGTGTGTGTTTCTATATACAGCATCGTCTTTCTTTATTGTTAAAATGTACGACATTGGAAGGACTCCCTGTAATAGATGCCTTCTTTGTGTAGATTGGAAAATGGGTTTAAAAAGAACTGTGATCCAGAGGGTTCTTCATTCCCCACCCCATTTTCCCCCTATAAAGCTGCCATTTAAAATGTCCTAAACATCCAGAATAATCTAGAGGTATCAGTGAGTAGGGGATTTGAGATACTTGTCAACAACTTTGTCCTGTGTTTAAAAATATTATTATTCATTCTGGGGGGGGGGGACCATGTCAATCAATCCCCGTCTTTTAAGAAAACATGCAGAAAGGAAATATTGGAATTTATAAGGAGGCCTGTAGACAAAAAGCGATTTGCTAAACTTGAAACCACAGACTTTGAAAAGTTGTTTGATGTTCAGCTTTGACCTGGGAGTCAGTTCCATGGAACACTGTGGGGATTGCCCATGAGTAGGCCATGGGTATAGATTGCGCTGTGAAAAAATGTCCACATTCTGGCTTAAATTGTGTGCATTTGTTTTATGCCTCCTTTTCTGCATGATGCTTAACTTTTCCTCCCTGGTTTGTGTGTATGCGTGAACCTCTTGAAAGTTATTAAAAGACAGCCCCCCACCCCAGTTCAATCAGATTGATGTGGTCGAATCCCTGGTTCGCCCCCCTCGCCGAATATAACCACTCCCACCTTTGTATCTAGCTAGCTCCAGTTGGAAGGAATCAAGTAAAAGCAGGTTAGAAATAGATTCAGACGTGCAAGCTCCATGCTGTTTGAATCCAGTGGGCGTCTCTGCCTTGCCGCTAAGAAGAATGGAGTTCAGGAGAGGAGTCTGATGATCCACCCCCTCCAGGAAAAAAAAAAAGACATCAAAAGAACTGAATCAAAACAGTCCCCTTTTGGGGACTTGGCTTTTTTTAAAAAAATCAAAACAATAAGTTTCTTTGTATTCTGAATCCAAAACCATTTGGTTTGGAAGGGTAGATCTTTTTGACTTGGGGTATCCCCCCAAAAATGTGCTGGGGGGAGGCTGAGAAATGGAGGTGAACAAGAGGGGACCCCCCTTGCTGTTTGCATCCTGCCGTAGGCAACTGTGATGTAGAGCTAGTTCTCCCTCTCTCCCCATGTTGTGAATTTTCTGGTTTTTGCTTTAATGGGTGTGTGTGTGTGTGTGTGTCCAGTCAGATAAATCAAAAGTCTGGATACCCAGTTTTGAGAGGCGAGGTCTTCCCACGGAGCCAGAAATTTCAAGAGAAAATTGGGGTGTATTTTTTTTAATCGTTTGCTTTTCAGATAAAGCTGTGTTTTTTTGTTTTTGTTTTCCTCCTCGGCTTTGCAGAAGGAGGCAGCTGCAGTTTGAACTTGACACTGGGTGACAGCCAGGGGCTCTCCCGGCCTTCTCCGCCCAGGCTTTTTCCCTTGGTCAAGTCTTGGGCGAGGAGAAGAGGAAAAAGAATTAGAAAGATCTAGGGCAGGGAAAGTGCAATGTAACCCAAAAAATACAAAATAAATAAATAAATAAAGAATCTCCAAAGGGTAAGAGAAAAGAGAGTGGGGAAGTTCACAAAAGCTACATTTTGGAGTCTTCCAGGCATTAGAAGGTTGGTTTTCTTATAAAGAAGGTTTAACTCGAAAGAAAGCCATGCTTTGTATCGGGGAGAGGAGGGCTGCTTCGCCACTCCGGATTTGGGTTCTTATTTCCTCTTTGGGCTTACTTGGGAGTAAGTTGTGTGAAGCTCAGGAAAGACATTTAGGGGATGGGATCTAGCAGCACAGCTGTGATCTGCTTTCCGTGAGGATGGCAGGATGGCTCCGAGCTAATTTTAGGGAGAAAATTCTGATAATGACTCTGGAAAAAGTTCCTCTAGATTTTAGTTAGCAATGCCAGCCAAATGTTTATGAATGATGACAAATAAGCTGGATCTAAACAGAAACGGTTCCTGCTCAGCATTTGGAGAAGGTCTCACCATTCTTTCCCCCTTAAAAAAATAATTAAAAAACCCCCCACAAAATTGCAGAATTGCTGCCTTTACTATCTTCTGCCTATCTTCCCAGCTAAATATTTCCTTTTCTATATAGAGAACAGCGCCAGTGGAAGACAAAGGTCAACCTGGTCCCTTGCAGAACTGTGGATGTGTATTCATGTAGGATTTTTTTTTATAAAGTTACCACCTTCGCAACTAAGAAAGGAAGTTTGTGCTCCGAAAATGGGGGAAATCACAAGTAGGTGAGATCTTTGGTCTTTTCCTGAAGACATACATTCAAGAAGTTTTTCATTTTTTTTTTTGAAGAAGGTGAGTGGTCTAAAAAATAATCAGCTGGTCACATTAGATTGCCTTTTAATTTGAATTTGCTTGTGGGTTTTTTTGTTCACTGTAGCCAAAAATGTAGAAGAGGAAAGGTGGGGAGGGGGAAAGGACATCCTTATTTTATAAACAGTTTAACTTGCAAGGCACCAACTTTGGAGCTACAGTACTTAGGAAAAAGTACTTGTATTCATTTATTTTTACCCACTCGATTTATAGTACTGTATACCTTTCTCCCACGAATGGAGGCAGACCTTAAAAGTCCCACGAACTCTCCATTGTTTTCGTTGCGATGTATGTAACATACGTAGCACTCCTGTGGATACAAGTAGCAGCAGGAATATCTATAAATTAAAATGTCTTAAAACGTTTTGGTGTGAAAACATTCTCCCCTCTCCCACTTGCTTAGGATGATAATCATTAGCACAACCCACCTCATGCTGAGTCCCAACCATGTTTATCCAGAATTAATTGCATGCTGTATATGTCTTTCAAGCGACCCTAAACCCACCCACTTCTTGGGGATTAAGCCCTTCTGAACTCTGGTTTTGTATTATTATTATTTTTTTGAGTAAATGTGTACAGGATGGTCTGCATGGAAAACTTCCATCAAATTGCGTCATTGGCCATGGAAAACTTCCATTAAAGCAAAGCCAGGTGTCTTGCTCAAGGAAGGAAGGAAGGAAGGAAGGAAGGAAGGAAGGAAGGAAGGAAGGAAGGATCGATCCATGTTAGGATGATTCTTTTTCGAAGGAGGGAAGGAAGGAGGGAAGGAAGGATCCATGTTAGGATGATTCTTTTTTTGTAGGGCAACCAAAACTGAGAAAGAAAGAGGAAGACACAATGTTTTGGGACTTTAAATGTGGCTTGGACCTGGTGTCAGGAGTGACAAACCATAACTTTGTCATTGTTATTCTCGTCTTCCACTCTTTTGTTATCTCTTATTGTTGATACCATCCTTGTATCAAGGATGATCCTAACAAAGGTAGCAGTTGCTTAGGGGGTGTAATCTGGAGGGGGATACTTCGGTTGTAGTTTAATTCCAGGCTGTAGTTTAATTCCATGTGTGCTTACTCAGAAGGAGGCCCCACTGTGTTCTGTGGCACTTAGCCTGTTCTGCAAGCAAAGTCTTCCAAAACCAACCAGCACTCCTTTTCCCTGGAAAGCCTCTCTAGATCTTTAGTTTACCTGTCTTCTAGGTACAAGCCTGTTTATGCTTTTCCCC